TTTTTTTTCCAAAACCAAGAAAAACTTCTCTTGCTTCACATATTCTTTATCTGATGCACTTTTATCTTTATATCTGTAGATTTACACTGTCAGTTTCCTAATAGGAGCCTTAAAAATCTGCACGTGACACTGTTACATGCATGCACTTACACACCCTTTTGGTTTAGTTTCATGAAAATACTTCTAAGAACTTTGTCTTTCAAAGTACCTAAAAGGTTTCCGAAGAACCAAAATGAGGGGAATAAACTGGAAAAATAAATAGTTGTTTAAGTACGTTGGCTCTAAGCATTTGATTGCAGATAGAATAGTAACAAACATCTTGTTAACAGCCTTGTATGGGTTTTATTTGCAACACAGTTTTATCTACAACACAGTTATTTGGCCAGTTTGTTTAGTAGCATAGTTTTCATTGAACTATGGAGAAAGTGTTTAGCTAATTTATCTAATAAATGGCAGAGACTTTCCTGAAATTATTGAAGTAAAATGTGACAACTATTAGGCTGAAAAGTTACTAAAATTCACTAAATTAATAAATGGATTTGGCTGTGAGATAGTAGGGCCTTTGATAGAGCCTTCTATGATTTGTGTGTGTGTATATATATTGTTAAAGTGTCATATTCATAAGCACTTAGGATTGCTGTGAGCCACAATAGCACAACTGCTCTTCAAAGGGATGCCAAAATTATTTCATTTTCTAGGCATTCGTCAAATGTTGTGGATTGAACTTTTGTGTAACGCTGCACGATCACCATCCCCTGCAGTTTAAAACCAAGCATTTAACGTACTAAACTTGCTGTGGACCAGTTTACTCCTGTTGGAATAAATGGAAGAGTGAAACAACAAAACACTTCAGTGCAATTGGGTCCCAGCAAAGTCTCAGAATATGGGTTGGAAAATGTCCATTTTACCTGAATTATACATTCTATGTACTGAGTGTACAGATTAAAGAGTACTTTTTGTTGTTGTTTTGCTTTTTAAAACCTGTACATTTCTGCATGTACAGTCCTCCTTTACAAAGCATTACAATGGTCCCTTGTAGTCCAGGAGTAAACATTACCCTAGGTCAGGGATACAAAACTCCCCTCATCCCTCACCTATGGAAGTACTGACTAAGGCTAATGGAATTTGGAGTCCATCAATATCTAGAGTACCATAAGATTATTCCCATGCTGTCTTAATTCTGCTTTAGCTTGGTATTATCTTTCCTCAGGGAGGAATACTATGAGTATACTCTCATGGTGTTTACACGGAAGCATGTGTTTTTTGCATGCAAGCTTGTGACCCTATTTTCTCATTGGCTATATTAGAGTTGGTTGGACCCCTTCCATTATTAACTGTGAGCCCAGTATTTCACATAGGCATTGTAGGATTATGCTTTACATTTCTTCTTTTTCTAATCTTCAGGGCTTTCTGAGAGCCCAGTGAGGATTGTGTCTTTTCCTCAGGCAGATATCACAGGTTTTGTTACCCCCTAAAAAGCAAATGATACTCGGGTGTATAGTTCAAGTGGTACACTGTGGCTTGACACTTAATGTTCTCTGTATCTGCTTTTTTGAAATGGAAATTGAATTAAAAAATCAGGTTTCTTTAGAAGAACTCAAAAATACAACTTACGAATCTTGTTAAAAACAGTATTATCACTGGGCACTGATAGTTTTTGTGATCGATGCAGGGTTTGAAGTGCAGTGCTAGAAGCATCACTCTGTAAAGTTAAACTTGAGTAATTTTGAAATCAGTCATAGCTGTATTTACAAGCTAAGATTTTAAAGGAGGCTGTTGGATCTCAGAACCATATTAATACTATGAAAATGGCATAGGATGATTAAAGTGTATCATCCTTGTTAGTGGGTCTCTGTAGATGCAATTCAGTTTTAATGTGTAAGAGATTTGAGTCCAATCTACAGAATACTGGATATGTCTACATACTTTTGTATATAGTGGTATTCAACTGCATAGTTACATGACTTCACTTGCCAAGTGAAACATAAGCATGTACACTCCCCCACCCCAGATTTACTACAGTTTTTTTGTCAAAACATTGCTAGATTGATCTAAATATGAATTTAAAGCTGATAGGTAAAGTAGCACAAAAATTCCCTTAATCCTGCATTGATATACAGTTTTGGCCAAAAATATTGGCACCCTTGCAATTCCGTCAGAAAATGCAACCCTTCTCTCAGAAAATTGTTGCCGTTGCAAATGTTTTGGTACTCACATGTTCATTTCTTTAGTTTGCGTTGTAACAACACACACACACACACACAAATACACACAAACAGAGAAGAAAAGTCAAATCTGATACAATCCCATGCAGAAACCCATTTTCTTACAGAATTGCAAGAGTGCCAATATTTTTGGCCATGACTGTAAGCATGATACAGTAGGTAATTTTACCAAGGAGGTTCATAAATGTTATCTTCTACCTCATTGGCATCCTATCTCTTTTTTGTAGCCCTGGTCTTCTCAACAAAAGGATTTATTCCATAGTGTAAGATGGCTGGGAGGGAACACGTAAAGCTCTAGAAATTACTGGAGTGAGACTCCCATTGCTTCAGTCAGACAGCCATTGATGAGAAATGATGGCGGTCATAGGACAACAGTATCTGACGAATCAGAGATTCCAGATTGCAATATAAGATATTCAGCTGGTTAAGACTGTCAAAAACAAAAGCCCTATATGTTATAACTAAGCATAAATGGGAAAACCTGGTGGAATAACGTCCTTGGCTTAGGATGCCTTTCCTGATAATTTTCAGTGGGCTTGAATCCTTTTGTCTTCATAAGACTTCATAAAGATCCTTAAATAACCTTTATCCATCTCTTTAATTTATTATGTTGCCTGTAATATTGCCCCTTAGAAAACTGACTATTGTGGAATCAATTAGCACTGCTTCTTTCCAGCTTTTGAGTGACAAGATTTTCCTTTTGTCTATACTGTAGTCAGTTTTGACATCTTCATTAAAAACTACTAACTTGACTCTTGGTCCACCAGTAAAAGTACCTGTGATTTATTAAGAAACAAAAGAGATGCATCCAAAGTTTCCTGTCTTCCAACAGGAGACATTCAAGAGAAAATTGGACAACCATCTGTCAGCTTCCCTTTCCTTTGGATTCCTGCTTTGAGTAGGGGTATGGACTCATTGGCCTTATAGGCCTTTTCCAACTCAATTACTCTATGATTCTAAGCCTTCAACACAGAAAGGGAGCCTTTGGTTTAGAGCCAAACAATTCTGTGACAAAATGTCAGAGAAACAGTGAACATTTTATTTTTTAATAATGAAAACTGGTGCCGGTGATTCGTCATGTTGGAAATTATGGGATATTATACGTATTTTAGTTTTTAAAAGATTTCATCTCTCTTTTTTTGTAAAAAAAGAAAGTGCAGTAAACTTGCAAAGACTTGAATGTGTTTTTGAGTGTGTGGGTGATGATGCAGTACTACTGAAATGCAATCGTTTCCAAAAAGAGCCAAATAATACTTTGGTGCTAAGAATATGGTTTACATTCAGATTTTGTTCTGTTAATGTAGAACAGCCTCTGTCTATCTAGTTTCCTCCAGATCTGTAGGGCATTAGGTGTCATTATTCTGAAACATTGGGGAACTGATGTTTTGTGTATTTCCAAATGATGCTGTAGTCAATCTGCTTAATGATAAGGGATTATGGGGCTTGCCATCAGCTATTTTTACTAGTTTGTGTTTTGGGAACTCTGATGTAGGAACTTGACAGTGCAACAAGTTATTTCTTGAGAGAATAACAAATTAGTCATTCTTTTACTGATAATTTCCTGGCCAGTTCAATAGTTCTCCTAGCTTATTGATAGAAAATGCTGTGGTGATTGGTCCTGTTCCTCATCCCGATGGTTTAGATGATTTGATGATAAAAAAATGGGATTAGCCCCTCTCCCCTCCCCAGAATAACTTCTGTGCATAGGAACAAACAAAGAGACATTGGCCAGGAGTAGAGATGGGGGTACTCATATTCGTATACAAATATCCCCACGCAGCTGGACTGCGCTAGCGATTCAGCAGCCATGCAGGGAGACTCGTCCTCCCACTGCCTGGAATTGGGCAGGAGAGCTGGAAGAGAGTGGAGCTCTGGGAGTGATTGGAAGGACGAGTGAGGCTGTCATCGCCGCTGGATGCATGAGTGGACGGGCTGGCCACAGGGGCTGCCCATTCGTTAAGTCCAGTGATGCAGGCATATTTGTATACAAATACCCCCATCTCTAACCAGGAGTTTATTTCATTGGCTGAACAAGATGTCTTCCCTGTTCGTGTGGCTTTTGTTTCTCTGCAGATATCCAGTCAAGATTTATATTTCATATGATTTATTTCTGCATTTATTTCCCCAACCAGGAAAGATATGGAGAATTGCCTTAGCCTTTCCCCCTTTTTTTGTTCTCTTGCTGTTAGTTCCTAACTTTGTAAAAACTGTCTCCTGCTAAGACTTTATTCAGAGCCAAATTTAGTATGAATTTTATTGCGTCAAAATAATTACAGGAATTAGATTTGGAATGGATGGGTGGCAGACAGGGTGATAACAATTGTATTTCCCACATTTTTACTCCTATATTATCTAAACACATACCAACATCAAATCTGGTATTCCTCATATTGCAGTGGACTGGAGAAGATTGCCCATTTCATAATCAAATGATACATGTTATAGTAGCTTAAGATGTATTTCCAAGTCTCTCTTCTTTATAATGACATTAAGGTTGCAGTTCTGTACACACATGCCTGAGAATAAGTTCCACTAAATTTAGTGGGACTTATTTCTAAGTACACTGCATAGGGTTGCTCTGTAGAAGCTTATTTATTTATTCTTAATCTTTTTATCCTTATTTTCATTTTTATTCTTATTCTTATTTTCTTTTCTTTTGGGCACACTTTAAAAAAAATCCACATCATAATAGTATTTTAACTTTTTGAAAAGGAATATTTTTCTAAAGGCAACGTCTAATACTTGTATATATATATTTTTTTAACTTTCCTACAGATATGCACTTATTTGGCCATTATCCAGCTCACGATGATTTCTATCTAGTAGTGTGCAATATCTGCAATCAGGTAGTCAAGCCACAGGTTTTCCAGTCACACTGCGGTAAGTGAAAACTTTTGTTCCTGGATTATGGCTCAGTGTACATGTCCCAGAAGAAATGGTGCAATAGTTAGTTAGTCAAGGCCCATGGTTTGAGCCATGGAGGAGAGTCATATAGGGGTGAGGCCGCTGCTTGGACCAGTGGTTGCTGATAGAGTTAGTAATCACTTGTTCATTTTAAGCTAAATCCTTTACCAATTTAAATTATTTTACCTGTAAACGTTAAATTTACCTGTAAACGTTATGTTGGATATAGTATTACTTGTGATATCTCTAGTGTGTTACGTGTAAAATGCTTCTGTTCATTGGTGGCATTTTTTTTACACGTGGGGTGGCAGATGTTTACCTGAGCCACAAGAGTTCCCATCAAGAGCTAGATCCAGTTGTTTCTAACAGAGAAAATCTGCCGGAGTAATTTCCTTCCCCGCCAGTCAGGGTTCAGTGCTATAGCTTGCCTGATTCAGCCTAGTGAAAGAGGAACAAGGTTCTTGCAAGTGAACTAGGCCCAGACTTGGACCTTATAGACAGAGGTGTGCAAAACAAAATCCATCTTTGCTTCCTTTGAGGTGGTAATAGAAGGTAGAGCAATGTGTGTTTTCTTCTCTGCCCCGTTGGTGCTTGGAGTTTTAAACACAGATTGGCATGACTTCAAGTCTTGACTTGAAAAGATAGTGGGCCAACTCTACCTTGCATCCATCAGACAGACAAGGTAGAACAAACCTCTGCCTCTCCAGCTCTGAATTGTTCTGAGAGGCAGGGGCTTGTTTTTATCCTGCATTTCTTAATTAAAACCTGGAAAGCTGAGTGGGCTTTCCCCAGCCTTATGTCACATTTGAGACTGTGCCTCAGGTCATAGACACTGTCCTTGATAGAGCGTCACTGACAACAATGTTCTGCTTGGCTAGTGAGGCTAGCCAAAATTTGTCAATCTCGAAAGCAATTAATTAACATTGCTCCAGTCTGGTGCGATATTATCTCAGTGCAATCCCTGTTGGAATAAATATTGTGCTGCAGGGTCAGATCTGCCTGGTTCCTGCTTTGTTGCCTGTAATGGTCATGTTTTGATAATTAAAGCCCTGTGATCTCATAGGGATAAAGGGTGGTTTATAAACAAATTAAAGATAAGCAGTTTCATGTTGGACAGAGGTTACAGTTGGTGAGTCAAATGAGATTTGCCCTTTATGACAGGTCCAGTCATAAAGCCCACACATGGATGTAAGATCTGTATTGATATAATGTGTCCATATAGTTGAGTGTACATAATCCCTGACTATGTGATTAATATGCTGTATACAGTCTAGGAATCGATTGAGGGCGCATGTGGACACAATTCTGTGGTTCCTTTGACTGTTCATAGACTGTCTAGTATGAAGTGGACTAAAAGCCATCCCAAATCCAATGTGACTTGCTTCACAGTAAGCTGTCTCTGTTAATTGAATCTGGATATTCAGAGTCAGGTTTCCATCTGTCCGTATCACAAAAGGAAATGGCTGTGTTCGCACATTATGTTAAACTATAGTTTACGTTTGTTGTGGTTCATTGCTTTAGGTATGATTTATTCTGCAGATGAACAAACAAACCACAGTGTGTTTCCCCACATTTCTGTTCTGTTCCTCTGTTTCTGTCAGCTCCAGTTTCAGGATGATCAAGAAGCAAGCTAAGAACAAACCATGTTTCTAGCCTTGGTGATAATGACAAACCATGGCTGGAGTTCATAAGCCAGCAAAAAAAACATGCAAACAGATTGTGGTTTGCTAGCCAGCTAGCAAACTATGGTTTGTTCATGGTGGTGGGTTGATACATGACAGGCCAGAACGCAACGAGCAACAACCTGGCTTATAATGATGTGTGAACCTGCTAGTGAATAGAGGATCACAGTGGGCCCAACCATCTTGATGACATAGTTGAATTCAGCAGTTCTCCCAAAGAAAGATGCCTGCTGTTTGCAGTCCTTAGCTTGACCTCATTTTTCCATGTTTTAGCATATAGGATCAAACCGAAACAATGGAAAGTTGCTGTGTATGATCTATCCAAGGCCGTCATTCTATTTTCAAATCAGCTGTGTTTAATTTCAGGCAATCTATTTAGACTCAGGTATACTATTAATACTACTATTATATGGGATCACAATGAGTCGGACACGACTTAATGACTAAACAACAACAACATACTATTATTCTGTTATCCCTGGTGAGAAGAGTATCAAATTAGAATGAAAATTTGCTAACTTTAAGTTGATAAGACTGCCTTGAATAATTTTTAAATTAATTCGCATGCAAGCATTATGAAAAGGTAGCACAATACAAGTTCCATTGTCACATTAGAATACTTGACTAAAATATTGGAGTTTATAATGAATTTCTGTACTTCTTTTTATTGGCCTGCTATATACATTGTCTTATCCTTAATAATATGCAGTTTCTCTAACTCTTAAAAGTGTTGGCTATGTGCAGTGCACTTTCAGGTACATGTAGATAATTGGAGAGCCAAACTTTTTAGTTGCTTTGGCTGCAGCAATTTCCACTGCTGAATTATTGTGTATTTGGAGAAGGTGGTTTTAACTGAGGACCAGAATCAACTGAACTTTGTCATTTTGAGCACTGCTGAGCACTGTTGTTTCATACTGTTGAGAATTGTTCTTCATTGGAAACAGTTTATTTCCTGAACCTTTTATTCCCATTACGGTAATTTCTGATTTGACTAATTAATATTTTTGTTGTTCTACTTATTAGTTTATTATCATCTATTGCTATTTCCATTAGTAACACGAAAGGGGTAATGTAAGGATTCAGCTAGGTGTGCTTAATATGCAACTCTTGTGAGCTCCCTCGTTAATGCATTCTTTGGGCCCTTCAGGGTAACAAAACCAGCTTTTTTTTTTTTAAAGGAAATTACTGTAGAAGAGAGGATAGTTACTCTATAAGTATAAGCATTTGTTTTTGCTTGAGGTTCAGATTGATCTCTCTTGTGTAGTATTTCTCTCAATCCTGCATGCAACAAACAATTTTAAGAAACATTTTAGAGCAAATATATTTTCTCAAGAAGAAACTACTGCCCATGCTATAGTAAAAATGGTTTTGTTAAAAGCAGTTTGCCCAAGAAAATAACCTGTAAGGAGATGGTGGGATTTCTTTATTAGATTAAATGAAAGTGTATCTGGCCTATGTTAGAAAGGCTTATAAAAATGGATACAGTTCAGTGCTTCAGATACTGTGGTGTCAAGAGGAAGATGTTCAATAATGCAAAATGCAGGGTTAATGAGCAAAGTGGCAATCCTTGTTTGACGGGCCACGATCCAACCAAGAATTATGCAGACACTTAGAGCTTTGTTTGATGATTGACCCCAGTGGCAAGTAAGCCGCAGTTCACTTTTGAAAGTAGTTTGTTTATGAGACAGGGAGTTCTTCTACTGGAAATAATGAACAAAGCTGTCAGAAGTTTACAGTGGTGCCTTGCGAGATGAATTTAATTCGTTCCGTGGTTAATGTTGTCTTGCGAAAAATTTGTCTTGAGAAACATGTTTTCCCATAGGAATGCATTGAAATCTAATTAATGCATTCCTATGGGCAAAAAAAGTCAGAACAAAGTCAAACTTGGTTTACAAAGGGTTTATTAAGTGCTCTTTAAAGCCATACATATTGTGCAGATGATTTTAAAAATTTCAATCAAAAAACTTTTAACTTTTTAAACATCATAGAAAAGCATTTAGAAATCAGCAAACATGAGGCAGGAACGAAAAAAGGAAAACATTCTTCTTGTGAAGCACGGCCATAGGAACATTTGTCTTGTGAGTCATCAACCCTATTGCCAAAACCATTTGTCTTGCAAGTTTTTTGTCCTGCCAGGCATTTGTCTTGTGAGGCATCACTGTATTTTGCTGCTCCTTTCTAATTCCAGTAGTCCTCATCCTCATCTGAAAAGGTTTGTACAGGTGTCAGGGGACATTGCTGAATGGTGTGGGTTTTGGTCTTAAAGGAGTGAGAGATAATGCTAGTTGTATCCACTTAATGATTGACTTGTTGGTTACATTGTATAATTTTTTTTAAGATGAGATACCTCAAGATGGATAAATTAAGTATCAGCTTTCCAGTATGTGCATGTGCAGACGTTTTTGTGCCATTTCCATACCTCAGTTCAGTCATCAGTCGAAACAGAGCCTGCAGTCAAAAATCGGAAGACGACTGAGACTTTGAAGGGCAGCTGTGAAGGAACTAGAGAAGAAGCTTAAGTGTTAGGATGTGTTGCTGGTGACCAAGGCCAAAATTATCCATATTCTGGTAGTCTTGAATTACTGTCTTTGGATGTGGCAGCTGGACAGTGAAGAAAACTGATAGGAAAAAATAAATTCATTTGAAATGTCATGTTAGAAGAAAAATCTAAGGATACTATGGATATCCTGAGAAATGAGCAAGTGGGCTCCAGATCAAATCAAGCCTGAACACTCAGCGGAAATGACTAAACTGCTGATCAAAGGTTATTATAGTTAGATATATTGTGAGAAGATCAGACACACTGGAAAAGACAATAATGTTAGGAAGAATGGAAGGCACTAGGAGAAGAGGGGAAGTTAGATGAGATTAATTGACTAAATCAAGGAGGACACATCTTTTAATTTGTTAGACCTGAGCAATACTGTTAAGGACTGTTAATTTTGTCCATTGCCTTTGTAGTTGGAAGCAACTTGATTACACATAACAAATATGTACCAAGTGTAATATAGTTTAATTTCTACATAAAGGTGCCTTCTGTATAGGAATGTTGTAAAGCAGCCGGTGTAGTTTCCTGATAAGGCTCTCTGTTGCCTTGACAACTGTGCACAGCATATGTTATAGAGATATCTTGTCCTAGTAGTAGTCTGTTGATAAGGAAGTGGTTGTTTTTGCCTTTTTACAAAAGAGAACGCAATACCAATATGTGTTATTGGGAGAGATTTTTCTTCTTCCATTTTTTCTGACATTGGCCCATCAACAGCAGATTGCCCAGTGGCTCTGTCTATTGCATGG